AACCCGAATTTAAGAAAGCAAGAATTATCCGCACCGCACGGCACGTACACCATATCAGATGGCTAGAGGCGGCCAGCATATACTTGGCTAACCTTAAGGATAATCAATGCATCAATTATAAAGAAGAGATTACGTTATCAACAGCGTGGCTAGCGTTTATGAATAGTAATTTATGATAGCCCGTTTGGAGTCGACTGCGCATGACATACAACGACGGAAACGGGAAACGTGCATTCGAACTTACATATTTCGAATTTAAAGTTTTTACGAGCTGCATTTTCCATCAGAGATTTGAAAAAACCTGAAGAAGAACCGGTATAAGGGTTCAAAAACGTTAGTTTTGGTTTGTTTTGGATCGTTAAGAGTTAGTAGACGCACCAGTAACAGGTTAGAAAGAGATAATTAAATTTACTGAAATAAATAGATGATAGAAGATTATCTCAGCATTTGAATCAGAAATCTGATTCAAGTGAATAAACTATTTCTTTTCTCTAATTTATGAGGAATATTTAAAGAAATCTTCATAAATTGATTTATTTTTCTTATAAAAATGTCAATATTGATTTTATCAAGCAAGTAAAGGATGTTAATAATAAAAAATTATTATGAAAACAAGAATAAAACAAAATTTATGAAACTTTTACATTAGATAGAAAAATTTATGTGAGCTGTTTTAGAAAATTACTGTAAAACTGTAAAACATTAGCTTGCTTTACTTAAGCTGCTTATGTTTGCAGTCTTCATGTGGAATTGATTTTATTTTTATTGTTAATTTTTAAATAATTTATTATTAATTTACTATAATAAGTTTAAAATTATCCTAAGATTAAAATTATAATGATAATTGTGGTTGAGAAGCTTTGCGGAAAGTTTTTCATTTTTTAGATATTACTCATAGTTTGAGTTGTTAAATATGAATAAATTTAATATTTATTGTTATATAAGACATGTTTATTGTCTGTTACAGTATTGTATTAACATTTAACTGTTATGCTATGCCATTATTAAGAGTGATGAATTATTCAAACTCTGAAATGTTTTTAAATATTTTTGGGCATAAGTAACGTTTGTCATAAATAGGAGACTGACTATATCTACTTAGATCAGAATATAGTATCTTATAATATAATCAAGATGGGTTAATAATACTCACACAGGTCTCCTGCAATGGAGCTACCCATCGNTTTTGCTCGGGCAATGCTGGGCTTACCTGCTAGTTATTTTATAATTGTTTTAAGTAATATTTTACTTTATTTAATCAATATCTATTTTTATATGTTGTATTTAAAAATACAAAAATATTTTAGAGTAAAAGTGACTAATTTCTAGTATTATTTCATAATAATAAATGTTTAGTTAGGAATAATAATCTTTTATATGTAAACAAGCAATTATTTTATTGTAACATTGTCACAATGCAGGGCTGCAATTTTTAATCATATTTTTAAATTTATTTAATTTAAAATATGTGCTTTCCACCTTCAAATTAGTAATGTCTTGCCCCTGTATATCATACTTTCCCTTTAGCAATCCAATCGTACCAGTCATCTAACTCCTTTCAGGGGAAATTTTTGAATTGAAATAATAATACTTCCAGTTTGCATCAGAAGTTTGCATATAATTAATCGGGGCCTCTTGCCCCTAAGGTTTCCATATCTGGTCTTGTCTTTCACCTAATACCGTTCTTGAGATTAAGAAGGACAGGCAACAGTAGGAATTTATAGGTCTACAATTCTTTCAAATTGAAGCCCAATAATCACTGCTGTTAAAAGTGATTATTTACATATAAAAGGTTATTATTATAAAACATATACTGTTTAGAAATATAATAAATATATAAAATAGCTCCAATTTAGTTTAATTTTTCTTTTGTTAATAGTCTGCATTTGTTTCATTCTTTGTCTTGTTTTAATTTCAGGAAATCTATATGAACAATTATGCATCTGTTGGAGTTGATGCACTTGTTGCATTGAATTTTCATAAGACAAGAGAATCCAAACTTTACTTTTATGGAAGTCGATTGTTGAATAAGGTTTGTACTTCTGTTTCTATTTATTATTCTTTAAACCAGTCTTTTCCAACTTATGTGTTGGGAAGATGTGAAAACATTCTAGGTTATTTTTTTAAATTTATCTTATGACATACCTAAATGTATATCACAAGATGAATTTAAAAAATTAAAACAATAATTTTTAAAATGAACTCTTGTTCTGTATTAACTATATTTTAGAATTTTGTGTTAGTCACTATTTTAGATAAGGAGGTAGAAATTGTGTTTTGTGTATTATTTCAACATGAATCTAGAGAATTCCAATGCAAATGCTCCTCTGATTGTACAATTGATTTTCTTGTAACTTCCTTCTATTTGTTTTAAAATTAATTTGTCAAATTTCTTAGCATTTCTAATCAGTTAAATTGTTCTTTTTAATGTTTTAACTACATTAAAAAGAACAATTAAACAATCTATTTTGTCATCTCAATAAGGACAGAGATTTCCTTTACTAGATGATTAGAAATAACTAGGTTATTTTTGTATATTAAATGTGAAGTAAGTTTGTGGTACTAATATTGAAAATTCTCATGGTTTTGAAGGAGTATTTTATTTATGAATTGCATCTTATGTTACTCTATAAGATGTCTGTCACAATTAAAATTATTTCCTATTTCTTGGAATACTAAAATAATAATAATAGTTCTATTGGTTACCATTTATCTAACCAGCTCAGAAAATAAATCAGTTTATTTTTATAAAAATTAAACAAAAAATATTTCTATATCACATCAAAAGTAGTGTTAATTTTATTCACAGATCATTCTGTTGATTGTCATAAGATATCAATTATTCTAGTGATTAAGTCAACTTTATGAACAAATCTATTAAACTTTAAAAAAATATTTGGTTTAAATTACATTTTGAAAAATTTCTACTTTAGATAGAAAGAATCTGAAAATCAGGTTTAAATCAATTAAGTAAATAATGAATTAATATCCTTAATAAAAATATTGGCACATTTATAGCAATCATCACCATGGTACAGTACCTTTGGTTAAAACATTTGTTGTAATGAAAAGGTCACAAGTTCCAGTCCAAAATGTGGAACTTATTAAGTAAAACAAAATTTTATTTATCAATAAACCAAATTTTTACAAAAATTAAATAAAGTACAGTGTATATTTTCATATTATACCAAAAGTAGTATACAATTCATTCCCATCTTTTAGTTCTACCTCTGACTGTAAAACTTCATTCACTCCAGCAAGTTTATTATTTACATATTGTCTTAAAAATTTTGTGGGAGACCATTCATGTATAGTATTTTTACAAGGTTTTTGACGTGTTCATTAAAATTGCATTACATGCTAAACAACAGTTTATCACATTACAGCATTTTCATTAATTTTTATCTAAAAGTAATGAAAATGACTGACTAATAAAAATTTAGACTAGTATTACTATGTAACAATTATTGAATTTTATACATATTATTTTAAATCAATTTGTTTTTCTGAATGTAAAAAATTTATTTCTTGTGAAATAATTTTCTTTGAAGATAGGAAGTTTGGTCTGGAATTCTTATTTGTATTTGTCAACTTTGAAAATTAAAATCAAACAAGTAAAACGACAAGGCCATTTTTGGGACGAGACTACGTCTCAGAAACTCAGGGCTCAACTGCACACCATTTTCTAAGGAAAAGAGAAAAATTAGCACTGACCAATGAGGAAAAGCCGACACTGGTACTTGGGGTCCTGGTGTAGATTACGGTGGGCTTCATTGCCACCATGGTTACGACTGGTTGTGTTGTCACGGGCCTGTTCTTGGCTATGGTAAATGGAATCACTTCAATGCTCACGGCAGGTCTCATTCTCATTCTCCGATCTTCTTTGGTATCGCTGGTTTTGAGCACAATCATTCAAACATTGCCAGCCTTGGCCATGGCCACAACCACGAGGTTGTCCACGAGGCATTTTTGGTGAAATTAATGGGTCAAAGAGATTGAATGAGGTGTCAGCAACACACAAGAAAATCGAAATGACGACAGCAAAAGAATACATGTGTAATGTGTGTCACATGTTTGTCAAAATTTGATTTTGCAACATTTGCATTTTGAACTTCCCAGTGGGCAACACATGTGCAAATCTCATACTAGTGCCTGTTTGTAGAAACAGAATTGTCATTTTCTATTTATTTTGACTTGGTTCTTGGTCCCCTGACAACTTACAAGTCTGGTTTTTTTTATGTGCACATGATTTGGGCACCAAATACCCTGTGCCACATTGCAACTCCTGACATGTACTCCTTCATACCTCTAAGATGTCCAGCTGTTGACAGCAGCGTGATTTTATAGACAAGACATAATCTTGTCAATAAATGATTTAAGTTAGAGTTTTTGACATATTTTTTTTATTATTTATTTTATTTGTGAAATATATTATATTTTTTAATAAATCATTATAATTTTTTTAGTTTTTATATATGAGTTATGGTACAAAAGATCTTTTGGAAAGAGAATGTAAAAATCTACATCAAAAGTTAGATTTGCAATTGGATGGCAAAAATGTGCAGTTACCAGAAGTGGAGGCAATAGTAGTATTAAATATTCCATCGTGGGGTGCCGGCATAAGACCTTGGACAATGGGTAAACAACAAAATGTTCCTGTTCAAAGGTAAATATATTTAAATAAAATTCACTTTAGAAGTTAATTTGTTTTTACATAGAATAACAAAGTTTGGTTATACTAAGCTGATCCAGAAAGTAAATACCATTTGTGCATATCTCCCGCGCATCTGACAACACAAAGGTCATGCATGCATAGTTACATCCTTCAACACCAGAACGTATTATCGTAGCCATTTTGTTTTGATTACGTTAACGTTTGAAATCACTGTTTGTTGGTAATCATGTTTAAAACAATCAATCAGCCCACCAGCTAAGAAATAAGAGTTGTTATCAAGTTTTTGAATGTGAGAAATGTTTGACCTTGTGAAATTTATCGTCACATAAATGAAACTTATGGAGAGAATGCAATGAATGAAGGTATGGTGCAAAAGTGGTTAGGATGTNCAAAAAATCAAACGGTTTAAAATATTAATACAATTAGGGAAATTATTATATGGAATTTTGGGACTTTGAGTATCTATCTGAACTGAGGGGACCGAGACGACTTCGACGATACCCTACTTTTGACCGGAGATGAAAAATAATAAAGTTATCATACTTTTTCTGGTGATCGCATGATATAATTGTGCAGTTAATGTTACCTATGGTGAGTAAAATGGCGGCTCGTCTCCGATTCCAGCAAACAGAAGAAAGGAAACAGTGAGGACGCACGTTCTGACCTAACCTAACCTATTATAATAAATTACCATAATTATTACCAACCAAATTATTAGAATAGGTTAGGTTAGGTTAGAACGTGTGTCCCCACTGTTTCCTTTCTTCTGTTTGCTGGAATCAGAGACGAGCCGCCATTTTACTCACCATAGATAATATTATCCAATTGTGCTTACTTACTAGTGCAGTCTAAAGATTGGTGACACTTTATTGAATTGAATTGAATTTCATAGCAATTGGTTTTTGCGACAAGCACACCTATTTGTGGTACATTTATTTGTGGCAAAGATCTTATTTTCACTTTACCGAGTGCCTAGTAGGTAATGTGTGGATTACCTAGATACTCTGCACATTATCTAGGTAATTTGAGAAATGGAACAATTTTCACAACTTTAACGGATCACCCTAGTTAATCTGCAGATTAGCTAGGTAATGTACACATGTAATGTGGCATTGTTTCTCGTGTGAGCGTTACCTTGCGCATCTAGCCAAACAACGGGCATATGAAAAAACTTAGTGTGCAGCCAGCACCTCTCAGTACCTCTGTTTGTAAAATCTCAGATAACTTCTGGTTGCTGCCAGTGTGCTTCCAGCAAACTGCAAGCATCTTTTTTGATGCTCGATACAACAGCAAACAAGATGGCAGACATCACGAGGCTTGTAAGAGCTCTGTTTTGCACTGACAATTTTGAATTTAATTTATTTGTTGATGAATAAACCCTGAATAAATTAATATTCGGTTAGTATATTAATAAAATATTTTAATATGCAAGTATATTTACATAAGGCATCACATATTTTTTTTAGTTATTAAAGTGTAATCTTAGGATTGATTTAATTATTTAAAACTTCTACGGAAATTTAAAAAATCTTTATCCCTATTTCTCTTTTCGAAATATTCATTTTTCGTTAAGCTGTTCTCATTAAATAAGTCCAAAAATAAATTTAACATAATGTGGAAGACCACATAGTTTGCCATTTTTATTGTTTTTCTCTCCCAAAATTTTCGGCAGTCAGCTTTTGTTCTCTAGAAAACGCCAGCAGTTGCGTCAGTTCAGGCAGCATTTCACTGGATTGATGCATAATTCCATTGCTTTCCTTTCCTTTTAGCTCCATCATGGAAAATGCCATGTTAAATGTTCATTTATTCTTTATGTTAGTCTTTTATATGAATTTTTTTATTGTTTTTAGTATTAACACTATATTCTCTATAAAATGTGTTTGAGTGTCTAGAACAAATTACAGTAGAGCGTCGATTTTCCGAATCAATTGGGGACTGGGGTTGTCCGGATAACTGATTTACATACGAAAAAATAGTTTAATGTATCCGATGTCGAAATTTTTCTCCGTTGCGTGTCGCTTCGCGTTGAATTTTTGTCGATGTTAAGCCTAACAAAGACTATTGTATCGTTAAAATTATTTTTTTATTTTGTACAAACAAAATAAATATATTGAAAAATATAAAAATAATAAAAAATTATACTTCGGATGTTAACTTAGTATCAAAAACATAAAATATTTGAGTAGCCCAAGACATAGCCAAAGATTGAAGTGCCACAGCACTGGCGAAAATTTAAATTTGCCGACTGAAATTCTTTCGGATGATTGACTTTCGGAAAATCTACGCTCTACTGTAATTGTATTATATTTACATTGATTCATATGGAAATAATTGCCTTGGTTTTCTTTGGTTTCAGATTTTGCCAATTATTTTCTTACGGATTATTGACGAAAACAGAGTTATCACTGTATTATTAAAAATAAAAGTATTTTGCAAAAATGGATTAAAAATACAACCATCTCTGATATTATTTCTTCCGTATTGTTAACAATAAACTCTATTTTTAAATCTGTTGGAAATTTATGCATTTTAATATTTTCATTTCTATAATTATTACAACAATATTGATGACATCTCAATTTTGTTTTTATTGATGTCATGTTTAGGCTACACATGGTTTAGAAATGATAGTAGTGTAACTTTTATTTCTAAACTAAGTGGGATGGCCACCAGATGTCAGCTATGTTGTTTTCATCTAACAATAGACACTATTTGTCAGCTATTTCAGAGAAGCATTTCAATCACCAATCCTTCTTATTGCAAGATGTGCTCAGTGATATACGAGGGGGGACCCAAAAGAAACCGGACTGAGAGCGCGCTGCCATTCGTAGACGTAGTAGAGAGTTGTCCCACTACATGGGGTTAGTAGAGACCTTCACGAAACAGCTGTGCAAACGGTGTCAGTTTGTAGGTTTACGTTTGAACGTAGTTTTGTGTTTCTCTTACTGTTATTTTGTTCCACCTGCAAAGTTCTGGGCGTTCTTCAACATCTCGAAATGATGAAAACATTGAAAAAATCCACCAAAAAAGTGTTAAGACGTCTGCGAAAGGATGTGCGAAGGAAACGCCCAGAACTTTGGCGATCAGGTGACTGGTTCCTTCATGACGACAACGCCCACCACACACACGGCATTATGAGTGACTCACTATTTGGCCTCTCGGGAATGGCCTGTCCTTCCCCACCTTCCATATTCACCAGACCTAGTTCTGTGCGACTTTTTTCTGTTTCTGAGAATGAAGAAAAATCTAAAAGGGAAGCATTTTGATGGTGTGGAGGCTGTAAAAACAGCTTCGCTAAGGGCACTGGACGATATCAAGGTTAAAGAGTTCCAGAGATGCTTCAAACAGTGGGGAAAAAGACTTGACAAGTACATTGCATCTAATGGAGAGTACTTTGAAGGTGACTGAAGGAATTTTGTAAAAAAGTTAATAAATAAAGTTTTTATACAAAAAAATCCGGTTATTTTTGGGTCCCCCATGTATATTTCTTAATGCAAAAAGCATTTGACCTGCTGAAATCTATTGTCAGCTTATTGAGGTGTATGGAAAAGATATTATCAATAAAGAAAATGTGCATAAGTAGCATTAACCATTTAAGGAAGGATTGAAAACTGATGTTGATGCACACATTCGGAAAATATATATGTTTCATAAGCATAATAAGATGTTTCTTACTGTTTCTTTATCTGTCTTTTATAAAATTGTCACTATTAATCTTCACTGCCAAAAGATTTGTGAAAGATGGGCTCCACAAATGCTTAAACTGGAATACAAGCAGAAACAAATGCCTTGTTTCAGTCATTTTTGGAGTACTATCAAAGAAAAGGGGATAAATTTTTGCATCAGTTAGTGACAGGAGATGAGACACAAGTCTCTCACTACATATCTGAAAGCAAGCAGCTATCTCTTGAATGACATTACACACATTACCTGACAAAATCAAAAAATTCAAGCAGACACCTTCTTCACACCTGAAAGTTATTGCAACAAATTTTTGTGACTTAAAAGATGTTCTTTCGGTTGATTTTCTGTTTTATTTTATACTTAAAGAAATCATTTTTATTCTTATAGATATGATGATGGAATTCTGGAAGTCATTGGAATTTACTCTTCATTTCATATTGCTCAGTTGCATATTGGTTTATCTGAACCAGTGAGACTTGGACAAGCAAAGGAAGTAAAAGTATGTATTTTTGTTTTTTTTTTTGTCTCATTATAGATGGAAATGCTTTTAAAATTAGGAGAAATAATTCAATATCAATTTAAAAATACACAAATAATCAAAAAAATAGTTGCATATTAGATTCCTGCTGCAATTACTTGTACAAAAAGAGGAAATTATTCTTAGTACTCTTTCTAAGCTATTGTTTAAGAGAAAAATTGAATATAAAATTTTAAGCTATCAGTTTGGTTTGACTTAAATAAAATAAGGTATCATGAATAGAACTGTATTTGCTTTTGCCTAATATTAATTTAATATACAGTACTTGAAAATGATAATATCAAATTCATTATTCTTATCCATATTAAGATGATAAAAGTATTTCTAAGTTGATCAAAAAAATTGAAATGAAGCTAAATATATTATGTAGAAAAATACAAAAGGTTAAGTAAATCAACTTTATAATTATATATAAATTCAATTAGAAAATTTGCAAATTATAGAAATCAAAACATGTTTGATTGAAAAATGATTTTGTACAGCATGACTACATGAGGAAGATACTTAATAGCTATAGCACCATGTGATCAACAGATATACCTGTTATTATTTTTGGCTGTTTTATTTATTTTTGGAGTGTAGCTACTGTTATATCTCTTAAACCTGAAATAAATTATGTTTTCTAAAACTGTAAGATAAGTGTTAATAAATTTTTGACTTTTTATTACACTGTATCAGAGGAGACCATTCCATTTACAATCATTTGTTGTGAGACTATAGAGAACACATTTAATTATATACTGCCACAGCCAACTTTTGAAGCTATCATTTTGTCAGTATTGAAAGTGGGTTTCCCAAGTAACTTTTCAAAAACAGCAAATAATCTAATTGTGGAACAGGGTGATACAAAATCAGACATCGCTATTCCACCTTTGGACATGTTTGAATTTTCTTTGGCCAGAAATCTTTATCATGCATATTTTGTAAAAAGTTTAAAACTATTATCTTAAGTCATTTTGTTATCACTTAAAAACAGAGATCAAAGGAATGTCATTCATTTGACAATAAAAAATTTTGAATGTTTAATATCCAATTTTTACTTAAAAGCATAAAGCTAAACATGCTAATAATATGTTTTAATATTAGCTGACATTAGATACTCATCAAAAGAAACATTAAATAAAAAGGTTGCCGACACCATACAGGTCGAAGAAACTACAGGTATTGGTAATGGCAAATATGTCATTTATGTCAACTAAATGTTTCTTTTCATCTGTGATTGTAAATATCCGTGAGCAATTTTTCCTTGTGAGGCATGTGACGGCAAGTCTGTCATCAGATGCACTTTCGTCCTGTGTTTCTACTCGGGCCATACTTGGGTAATGGTATTTTGAAGATCACTACCACCTAGAAAACTTATTAATGATGTAAATATAGTTCTTAATAATGATTAATTTTCAGAAACTGCAATGCTGATTCAAACCTACTGTAATGCAAACAAAATCCATTAGACTAACGATAGACATATTTCTTTACTGCTAGAGTGGAATTCTGCAAAACATTTTGACTGAGAATCTTACAAGCATACTCAAAAAAGTTAAACAAGCCTCCTGAAATTGATATACACTTTATGTGGTCCATGCAGTTGCACCAGTTTTGCTGACGTTCACACTGCAGATTTAATACATGGATACTATCTAGCAACAAACTTTCGGAAGTTTCCTGACAAGATACGTTGCAAAATTTAAATTGTCTGTAGGTGGAACTATCTGTACATGGAATAGTCTCCCCTATTTATCTAAATTAGTTGTTATATTAATAATTTCTGTGCTGTTCTTTAAAATCAAAAATTTTTGGGCATAAAAAAAATTTTTCTTTCATTTAAATAATATTGGCTGTTCAAATTGCACTTGTTGATGGAGTAAACTCTTTTTCTATACAAAGTATAGTTAGTGTGATAAGAGATTGCACTCGGTCAGTACTAACTGTCCTATTTTATGAGAGATAAGCTAACAGGATGGGTTGGTTTCATGGTAATTTTGTTACACATATGAGCATTTATGTTTTGAGTTTTATCAGTTATAATACATCGTTTTTCCTCAGAAAGAACATTTGTGTAAACTAAAGTGAACCTTCTGTAGCTAGGTGATAATTGGGAAAGTAGGGGATGACTGGAGAGGTGACTTATGGATTTAACAGTCAGTCACATATTTTTTTTTTTGATGGAGACTGTTTTCTAGAGATTCTTGGGATTTTAGGTTTGAGTTCCAAGCAAGTTAAAAAAAAAACCAGTAGAGAAAAGTTTTGATATAGAGACCCCATTCCATCACTCTAAAATAGACACAGTTAGTATTGATCAAGGGCAATTCCTCATTGTACCAATTATACTAATCAGCATGGTTCAAGTGCATCACTTGTAATGGAGAGTATCATTCAACCCAATTCTAGAATCCTCTGAAAAAATTTAGGCATGACTATTGTACCCACTTCCACTTTGTCTGTATCATCAAATTGTTGTCCCCAAAGATTGACTTCCACCTGTTTGGTCCAATGAACGACAGAGGGCACCAGATCTGGCACCCTCTGATTTCAACATGTTCAGTCCAGTGAAGGAAATCTTTGGGGACAACAGTTTGATGATACACACAAAGTGAAAGTGGGTGTGAAAAAGTGGTTATGACAGTGCACACCTTAATTTTTTCAGAGAGGATTCTAGAGTTGGGTTCAATGATGGTTCAAATGCATTACTTTTTAATGGAGATTGCATTGAGTAGTAACTTTGCATAGAGAGAGAGTTACTTTACAAACAAGCACTATTTGAATTTTGAACTATGTCAGTAAATAAAAAAAGTTATGTTCAGTTTTGCATTATTTTTGGTAGAGCTCTTGCATAGTAATCTGTTTTTTTATATCATAATTCACTATTTAAAAAATTTGTAAATGTGTTAGCATCATAAAATGATACAAAAGAAGTATAATTTACACTATTCTATATTTTGAAAAATATTTTGGTTTCATTTCATTGTGATATATTGCATTTCAAAGAAAATCTGATAATATTACATAGAGAATCTGTATTAATTATAAAGCATAAAAGTTAAAGTTTTGAATGTGAAATTAAAAAGTTATTTTTTAAAAATCATCTTTTCATTGTTTAATTTTGTAGATTAATTTACATGAAAGATTACCGGTGCAGGTGGATGGAGAGCCGTGGGAACAATTTCCTTCATCTATAATCATCACACACTTGAAACAGGTCACTATGCTCTATAATTATTCACAGGAATAAAATTCAGACATTAAATTTGTGTGTAAAATCATTACAAGTGCATGCCAAGTTGTTATTATTAATCAAAATCATTATTAAATATATTTTAAATCATTAAATAAGAAAATGTTAAAGTTAATAGAGTTTATATCAATATACACGTCAATATACATTTATGATTTTAAATTACTTGTTTAATAATATATATATTGAATATAATTTATTGTAATGTTTTTTATATATTTAATTTTATTTAATTATTATTAATATATTTGTTTTTTTAATATATTTTATTGTATTGATATTCATGTATAAAATAATTGTTTTTAAAAAAACTAAGTTTTCATTTTGAATCTAATACAACTAACACACTTCATAGTCTGTACTTAACCCATTGAATCCTATTATACAATACACATTTAAATATTCTTTAATTAATTATTTTTTACACAAATTATAAATGTATCAGTGTTTTTTCTATAAACCAGTTAAAAGCCTAACATTGTACATGACATTTTTATTATCAAAATTTCCATTATTTTAGATAATTAGCTTTTTGGTTAACAGCTCGAAGCAGTATTTTTCAAAGTAGCAACGTTTTATCCAGTTTGTCGGGACCAATATCATATTTTTGGATTCGGACATTGGAATACCCACGTAACAGTATCTTTTTATTTAGATAAGTATGCACCACAATTGTGTAATGTTTCCTTTGAAAACACAGCATTACTAAAATCATACTTTCTTTCCTCAAAACACAGGACTGATAGTTGATGGCTTATGGCACTGGTCCAAGGATTACCATCTCTAGTCAAACTAAGTCAACAAACTTAGAGTATAACTAGAGCTACTTTACAAACAAGCACTGTTTAAACTACTAACAAAACTAGAGCATAAACTATTTCAGTTGAAGTTGCTTTAATTTTGGAAAGTGTTTTTATTAGAAATTTCTGCTGTTTAATATTGTAGGTGAAGCATTATTAACTGTTTCCTCCATTTTTTGCTATGATTGATATAATCCTTCCAAGACAATGAAATAAAGTAATTTGCAGTACTTGAATAAGGAATCTGTTTACAATATACTAGTACTCAAGCTAAATTATTCTCAGCCCTCCAGAAGTTTGAATTTTGATTTTATGATGTTTAAAATTTGAGTGTATGAATTAAATTTTTAACAGATTTAAAGTAAACTGTTTGAATACTTTTAATATATATATATATTACAATAATTACTCATGTAACATAATTATTCCAGAATTTTCAATAAAGATACAACAAACACAAAAAATTAAATCATAAATTTTAAGAGCTGATTAGAAATTATTAAACTTTTACAAGGTCATTTTATAATTTCTGGTATTTAATGTAGAATAAATAGGAAGTTTGATAAGTTTTATTTCTCTCGATGACAATATATTTGGATTCAATAAAATGATTTTTCTAATAAAAACACTTCAAAATGAAATAAAAATAAATCACAAAGTGATTATTGATATGAACTATTACTACTATTTACTAAAACAAAATTAATTTT